TTTTTGCTTTTGCTGTCCATTTTTTTTTTTCCAATTTGATTCATTTATTTTTATTATTTCTTTTATATGTGCGTGAAATTAGGTGAATAGAAAGTCGCTCTTTTTCGTGTTCCTCTCACTTAGTTGTGGCTCTTGCAGGCATACACATTAAAAAATTAAAGGGAAGAAAATGGTGAAGGTGAATGCCATTAGTCGATCGAATTTGGAATGGACCAAAGATCGAAACGGTGAAGTTCCACGTGTGAATCGTAATTTCGATACAAAGTACAATCCAATGGCAAAACAAACCGAGTTTACACGTGCCATTCGTGCAGCAAAGCTTGATCGCATGTTTGCGAAACCATTTGTTGGCGCTCTTTCTGGTCATCATGATACCATTCAATCGCTTGCTGTAGATTACACGAGTTTGTCTACCGTTGTCAGTGGAGCGTTTGATGGGAGTTTGATAGTATGGGATGTTTTTACAAAACGCCCAAAAGCAATAATTGATGCACATCGACATTCTGTTGACGGACTTGTTATTTCTACTGATGGTGTTGCTTGCTTTAGTGCTTCCCGTGATAAAGTCGTTAAGATGTGGGATTTGGACTTTTCTTCTGATGATTTGAATGCTAAACCGTTGGCTGAATATCTTGGAGAGTTTCCTTTTTCATCTATTGATCATCACTTTCAGAAATCGCTATTTGTTACTTCTTCTGATGTTGTACAATTATGGGATGTTAATAGGACTCAACCAATTCAACGTTTTTCTTGGGGCGATGACACAGTCTCTTGTTGTCGATTTAACAAAGTGCAAACAGACTTGGTTGCTTGTTGTATGTCGGATCGTGGTGTTTTTATATATGATGCAAGAACTCAAGCATCACATTCTAAAATTATTTTGGAGATGTGTTGTACGAGTCTTGCATGGAATCCTATGGATCCAAATACATTTGTAACCGGCTCTGATGATCGAAACTGCTATTTGTTTGATGTGCGAGTTCCCGGACGCCCCAGAAGTGTCTTTCAGGGACATATTAATGGTGTAACATCAGTTGATTTTTCCTCCACCGGAAACAAATTTGTTGCCGCATCGTTGGATTCCACACTTCGAATATGGGATATTAATCAAACTACGAAGTCGAATTCAATTGAAATGTATCATACGAAGCGTATGGCTAAAGTGTTCTCCGTTAAGTGGTCTCCTGATAGTAGTTATTTATACAGCGGAAGTGAGGATGCCATTCTTCGAATTTGGAAAGCGGATGCAAGCAGGCCTGTTCGACCATTACGAGGCCCTGAACGAAACAGTTTTAATTATATGCGTTCTTTGAAGGAAAAGTATTCTGGATTCGTGGAAGTAAAGAGAATTTCCAACCAGCGAAATACCCCCAAGGCAATTAGCAGAACACAACGACGAGCCAAAAAGGCAGAGAAACGTGAGTTCATTAAGGAGGCATCCCGAAGAAAACATGATGATATCAAGCCTCTTGCCCAACGTAAGGTTTATCAGTCTCTTAAATAAAGGTCTTTTTTTTTACTGTATTTGGCACATTTGTCGTTTAAGAAATGATTAGATCGCATCACATATTGCTTTGCGCTTTTGTTTTTTCTGTTCTTGTTGCCAATGTTTCATCTTCAGAAAATTATGCTGCATGAATACATATTATTCTTTCTTCCTGTTTCTATTTTCTTTTAATTGCTTATAATGCCGGATGTATACTCATGATGTTTGTCTTTTATTGCCCGTATAACTGATATTCTTCCTCAAATAAGGAAATAAACACATACACATAGAAAAAAGGTTACTACATATATATTGTTCTCTTTTTTTTTTTGTTATTAAACGGTAGAATCCGGTTTCAAAGAATGACAGCTCTTTCTCGTTATGCTTTCAAAGTAGATTACTATGATCCACAGGCGAACCTCATGCGTCAGTATTTGCTACTTTACTTTACAGAGGACGCAACAATCGAAATGCATGACCTTAAACTAAAAAAAGTCTTTCTTAAACGTTGCGCCTATCCATCTTTAAGTGCACATGAGTTTTTTATTGGAGCCACCGTGAATATTTTTGCTCGATCTTTAAAGCTTGTGGATTATGGAGATGAAGCAACACGGAAGCACTTTTCAGCAGCACTGGGTGAGTTTATTCTGCTCATTACTGAAGAAGGGTTTTCTTGTGCCGGAACTATTGTGGACAGGATTGTTGCAAAAGAACTAAGGATAACGAATATTCGTCTAGTCGATTTACCAGAAGATATGTGTTTGCAATTTGGAATTTCTAAACGATGCATTGTTGTATTAGTCAAGGGATCTGAAGCGGCTGACAAGGTAGTTAAATTAAATGAGGCATTTCCAAATATGACGTTTGTCGTATCCAATCCCACAGATGTGAGTACTTGCTCTGGGGTTGCCTTCAGCCCTGGGAAAACAACTGCAGTAATGAAAAACTGCGCCATTTGCGTCATCAAGCCTCACGCTATAACAAGTGGCTATCAGGGTGCAATTCTTCAGCGTCTGATTGATGAAGGCTTTCATATTAGTGCTTTGGGCATGTACACACTGACCTTGGCTGATGCGGAAGATTTTCTTGAGGTGTACAATGGCGTGTTACCAGAATACAAGAGACTTGTGGAGCAAATGTCAAGCGGTCCATGTTGGGCAATAGAAGTATGTGCTGAAAATGCAGTGACCGCGCTTCGGGCTGTATGTGGGCCACATGACCTTGAGGTTTGTCACGTGTTATTTCCTCACACTATTCGTTCAAAATATGGCGTTGATCACTCTCGAAACGCTGTACATTGTACGGATTTAGAAGAAGACGCACCTCTGGAGTCTGAATTCTTTTTTTCACTACTCCAGAATCTATAGCCATGTATTTTTGCATTTATTCTTGTATACGCTGACACGAGTTCTTAAAAGGGGAAATAAGCTAACAAGTGAAGGAAAAACAGTTCCCGCGATTCTTCGAATCGAATATGTGTGTTTGTGAAGATGTATGAAGTTTGATGGCTCATGTATTATACCTCTGTGTGTTCTTGCAATATCGATGCTGTCTCGATTTGAGGATTATAATTTGCTGTCTACCACTTCTGTGCCCTCACCAACTCGCTTAATATACATATGCATATATTCTGTGTATTTATTATTATTATTCCTTTTAATCTTATTCAATGTAGATAAGTAACATTGAGAGAAGAAAAAAAAAGGGGGAAAATAGCAAAGAAGGAAACAACAAGATATAACACCAATTCAGTGCAAAGGAATAGAAAAAGAAAAATTCTGTAAGAGCTGGTTGCTGTTGTTTTTTTTTTACACAAAATGATTCAACCTCAACTGATTTTGCTTCGGGAGGGAACTGATACTTCCCAAGGCAAACCACAGTTGATCAGCAATATTAATGCCTGCATGAATGTGGTTGATACTGTCAAGACAACTCTTGGTCCGTGTGGAATGGACAAGCTTATTCACAACGGCCGCGATGTGAGCATCTCCAATGATGGAGCGACCATCATGAACCTGTTGGAAGTGATTCACCCCGCAGCTAAGAGTCTGGTGGATATTGCCATGTCACAAGACCATGAAGTTGGTGATGGAACGACCTCTGTCGTTGTTTTGGCGGGAGAATTACTCAAGGAGGCGAAGTCTTGCGTGGAAGATGGTATGGCTCCTCAGGTCATTATTAAGGCTTTTCGCGCTGCTTTGGCCGTTGCAATGAAAAATCTACAGGAACTTTGTATCCCGTTTGACCCGAGTTCTGAAGAAGGCCGTAAGAATCTTGTGCGGTGTGCGGAAACTGCACTCAATTCAAAGCTCATTAATACCGAATGCCACTTTTTTGCTAAAATGGCCACAGATGCGGTGCTATCACTTGACAGTGACTTAAATCTCGACATGATTGGCATCAAGAAGGTGCCCGGTGGCAGCATGCGGGAAAGCATCCTCGTTGATGGTGTGGCCTTCAAGAAGACATTTTCCTACGCTGGATTTGAACAGCAACGCAAGAAGTTCGAGAATCCAAAGGTGCTGTTGCTAAACGTCGAGCTAGAACTTAAGGCGGAGAAGGACAACGCTGAAGTGCGTGTGAAGGACCCGAAACAGTATCAATCTATTGTGGACGCAGAGTGGAAAATTATCTACGACAAGATGGAAAAGTGCGTTGAGACGGGGGCAAAAATTGTTCTTTCCCGTCTTCCCATTGGTGACCTAGCAACGCAGTACTTTGCTGATCACGACATTTTCTGCGCGGGTCGCGTGAGCGCAGAAGACATGGCCCGCGTAGCATTGGCCACAGGCGGTGTTGTGCAGTCTACGGTAAGTAATATTCCTAAAGAGACTTTGGGAAGTTGCGCCCTTTTTGAGGAGCGTCAAGTAGGGACGGAGCGCTACAATTTCTTTACTGGTTGCAAAAATGCTCAAACAGCTACAATCATTCTCCGTGGTGGGGCACAACAATTTATTGATGAAGCAGATCGTTCCCTGCATGACGCCATCTGTATTGTGAAGCGTGCCTACAAGACAGGATCGGTGGTAGGGGGTGGCGGTGCTGTGGAGATGGAGCTCAGCAAGGTCCTGCGCGAATATTCGCGTACTATCCGTGGAAAGGAACAAATGGTGATTGGAGGATTTGCGCGGGCATTGGAGGTGATTCCGCGCCAGTTGTCAGAGAATGCCGGACACGACAGTACCGATACGCTCAACAAACTTCGCCAAAAGCATCATGTCGCGGGAAACAGTGGTAAATGGTACGGGGTGGACATCATTAATGGTGGTGTTTGCGATACGTTTGAGCGTTTTGTTTGGGAGCCAACATTGGTAAAAAGGAATGCTATTCAAAGCGCTACCGAGGCGGCATGCCTTATTCTTTCCATTGACGAAACTGTTACCAATCCAGAGTCCGATGCGGGAAAGAAACAAGCCGCTGCTGCTCGCGGTGGTGGTGCTATGCCGATCAGTAAGGCTGGTATGGGCGGCATGTTTAAGGGTGCTCCAGGGGTGACAAAGATGAAGGGCCGTGCTGGACGATGAGAACATCACTTTGGGATGTGTGCTCTTTTAGGTTTAGATTTAATAAATAAAGGATACGAAAAGGGATTACCCCTAACTTATTTTAACCGTTCTTGATGTGTATATATTTATATATAAATACATATGCACACATATACATGTCTTTCCAATTATTTCTACGATTAGTGAGGAGGTGTTGAACATTGATGGGTTTTCGTTCTTTGTTTTTTCTTTTCTTTGTTTCTGTTTTTGTTTGTTTACGGTGTTATTCCCTCTGTTCCACTTCTTTTCTTGTATATGGACTTTTTCCCCGCATTTTTTTTTTTTTGCTGGTCTTCTTTTTGCAATGTTGTCTGCTCCCGTACATGCCCCATAATGACCCTGAACGTGGTGTAGGCACACAGAGATTATAAGTTACAAAACTTTTTAGTGTTTTTTTTTGTTTTTGTTAGTGCTGTCTTAAAAGCTACTCTCTGTGAGTCGTTTGCTTGGCGGGTCGAATAGGACGAGTGAGCACCACAGCTGAAGAGGAAAACGGGAGAGGGGGCTTACGCTACAAATAGTTGTTTTCCTCTCATTTTATTTTGGGAGCTTACGTCCTCAAGTATCGTAGTCCTAGCACGGTTCTCGGGTGTTTTTACGCATGTTACGTCGGTCACTGGTCACATTTCCTTGGTGGAACTTTCAGACGGAGCACCGTCAGCGGTGCGTCATGATGTACGGTGGAGCACGCACGAAGAACACACACAATGCCAATCATCGTGTCTTCATCAAGAAATACAAACGCAATGCATTTCCAAATAGAACACGACACCATTGGGCCGTCTCTATGACGGGTGTACTCGGTCAACGTCCGCGCCGCATGCCGTGGCCGTATGATTTGACGTCGCTGATCTTTAACCAACCTCGGCAGGGGTCAGACAAGATTGGGTACGTGGTGGGCACAAGCATGTTGAAGACGGCTGTGGTGGCCGCAAATCACATGGTGTATTACCCTAAGTTTAACCAACGTGTCTCGCGTACGAGCCGTTTTTTTGCTCATGATGAAGACTTGGCATGCGTCGAAGGGGACTTGGTGCACATCAAACAGTGCCGGAAGATATCAAAGTACAAGCACTACTATGTTTTTAGTATTTTGGAGCCAAATATTGAGGGCCGTGAGCGGCTAAAATTAGGGCTAAAGGCTGTGCCGCCTCCCTTGTTTGGGTACCCCGTCTCACGACGAATCGTAAAGTTGAACCTGACAAATACGGAGGGTACCAAGGAGAAGCTTGCTGCGGTAATACAAGAGCATGTGCAGGATGCTTACAGGTTTGCTGGGCCCACTCCAGATCAGCCACGAAATTGTCTGACAGATTCGGCAACGTTTGACGATGCAAATAACATGATTGCACCCAATGCTGCAGCAACACCGGCGTCTCTGGAGGGTGAGGAAAACCCATCACTGTTAGGAGACAAGGAGGAGTACACGGAGGTGGAGCAAGATACACGGAATAAGAAGGGTGATGACTACTGGATGAATCTGCAGCCCAAGGAGAAGTACGATTTCAAGGGGTTCAAAAAGTCCCCTTAGGTTATTTGTCGCACGACAATTTACAAGATGAATTGGTCAAAAATCAAAACGTTGGTAAATGCATGCTTTTAAGCTTCATCAATCAATGACGTTACATATATTATTTCCCGGTGTCTGTCTCTCTCACTCTGTGTGTGTGTGTGTGTGTTTGTGTGTGCGTGCTTTTTCATCTCCTTCCCCTCTCTTTTTTACATTAACCGGTAAATTTCTTATATATGTGATGTCGTATCCGTAGAGTAAAGCTATAAGAAAGGTCCAAGATTGTCTGGCTTACACGCACATACACACAGAGATCTATCTGGGAAGAGGAAGAGAAAGATACTCCTTGTATCATGCCTGGATTTTCCTTTCATAACGTGCAGCGAAACTTGAACCTGCAGCAGCAGGGTCTGCATCCTCCCAAAACACTCAAAACAGGAACTACAATTGTGGGGGTTCTGTACAAGGATGGTGTAGTACTGGGTGCAGATACCCGTGCTACCGAAGGTAGTATTGTGGCCGATAAGCGGTGCAAGAAGATTCATTATATGGCACCCAACATTATGTGCTGTGGTGCAGGAACTGCGGCGGATACAGAAGCTGTGACAAATATGGTGTCTGCCAATTTGGCACTTCATCGTCTGGATACAGGGAAACAATCCCGAGTGCACGAAGCACTCACCCTGCTAAAGCGTCACTTGTACAGATACCAAGGCTATGTAAGCGCCGCGTTGGTTCTTGGTGGTGTGGATGTGGAGGGACCTTTCCTGGCGACGGTTGCGCCACATGGTAGCACCGATCGCCTTCCTTTTGTGTCCATGGGAAGTGGTAGCATTGCCGCTATGGCTACACTGGAGTCTGAATACAAGGATAATATGACAGTTGAAGAAGCGAAGGAATTGGTGGCTTCCGCCATCCGGAATGGAATCTTCAATGACCCATACAGCGGCACACAGGTGGATCTGTGCGTTATTACGAAGGCGAAGACAGAGATGCTTATCGGGTACGATAAACCAAATGAGCGCAGGTACCCGAAGCAGGATATTCGTTTCCCTCCCGGCACTACACCGGTTTTGCGGGAGGAGATCCGGAAGTTGGTGACTATCACGGACGTCGAGTGACAAGATGGAGAGCGACACTGCAGAGGAGGAAAAAGAAAACAAAAAAAAGGGGATGATACTTCAAACCGAATACAACCAACGAGGATAATAATGAAAAAAAAAAAACAGTTCAGAACAAATGAATGAAGAAGGCAATAAGAGGAAGTTGCTGGATAAGGTGGGGGATACGTACCCAACTTGCCCCTGCCCTCCAAAAAGAGAACGAGGAGCGATAGTATTGGAAAGTTCCCCCCAAGGAGGTGCGCCGTGCCAGAGTGACACCCGTTGTAAGAAGGGTCAGTCAAAATGTATCAGCGGATGCTGAGCGAAAAAAGGAGAAACGAGCAGTTCTGTTCTGCTGTGGGAATTGCATCGACACTTTGGCAGTCTGCTTACTGTTGATGATGTGACCAATGCAATGTCTCATCGTGCGAGCAATCCGTGAGCTTTTTTGTTTGTTTGCTTGTTTGTTTTACTCTTGGAGAAGGAAGGAAACCTATTTTTCGTTCTTTTCTGCTCTTTCTCTTAGCTTATTTTCCCTTTTATTCACTACCCCCGCATGACACTGCGAATTTTTCTGGTTGCTTTATAACTCTCACATATCGTGTCTGGGAAGCAGCGACAGCAGTCGCGGGGGGGGGGGGGGGGAGTTGATTCTTGGGTTGAAAGGTAAGAAGGTAGTGGTGAATTAAGGGAGACGCTATTATTCTTGATCCGCGCTCGGCGGGAGAAGTTACAATTTTGCTGTCACATTGATGTCAATTGAGCGCGGGAAAGTTCTCTTTGCAATATGTGTGTTGTACTTTCAAAGCTCCCTCCAGAAGAGCAACGGAAGTGTAAGGAGTGAGTTGAGGCACAGTTGCTTTCTGATGAAGTATTGACTTCAGCACGGTTGTAAGGCTGCCACTGAAGTTTCATCTATTCCGCCTACCTGCTGCAGTTCCTCTCCTCTGACACCGAAGTGGGTGGAAGCCATTGGAGTTGTGTCGTTTGACTTGAAGCTTGACCAGACCTTGGCACACTTGTTTCCCCTGCAGTTGCTATTGATGTAGCAGAAGACCTATTTGGCGTTTCTGTGTTTTCCAGACACCAACCACGCAGAGTACGGTCACTCGTTAGACCACTTCATATTTCTTTTGAGGAGAAAAAATATTATGATACCACTCGAATAACGTTTGCCTGTGTGCCGCATTGGACGACGTTGCGTTTTGTTGTCTTTAATTGGTTGTCTAGGCCCTCGACTTCGCACCGTGACGTGTGTGAAGAATGCTTTTGCTCGGTGATTTATGTACAACGAAAAGATGCAAGCAATGAGCGTGGCACTCAACAAAAAGCTTTTGTTTTGATTTTTATCTATGCGTTTCCTCATATATTTTTTTTTTTGAGATTATTCTTGTGGCGGTGTATGATCTCGTTTTGGACTCTTATGACATGTCGGAAATATTAGAGACTTTCTACCATCACAGTGACCCTTGACCGGCTCCATTACTGGCACAGCTGTGTACAGGACTGCATCTTCCAGGGAAGCCACTCCAAACTTTTAGGGCGCCGTACTATGCAAGTGATCGGCTAGGTTCTTATTGGCGCCAGGGTGGTCTTAGTCGTGAGGCAAAGTGTTTTTTTTTTCACTGTGGCGTTTGTTATACGCCTTGGGAAATACATGTCCCGAATCCGCAGTTATACAGAATTGCCTGGAATGCTCTCTCCTCGGTTCTTCATCCGTCGAAGGTACGGGGAGCTACATTGAGAAACAGTTAGAGCTTCCCTTGCACGTGCCTGCTTGGAGGCAGTCTGATGTTTTAGCTGTGATTGACGCGGCTTGTATGCGCAGGTACGAAAATGTGGGTGTTTTGCCAAAGACAGACGAGGCGACAAACGAGAATGTTGAAGCTGTTGTGACTTATGGTGTGAGAAATATTATACGCTGCTCTCCTCAGTGCTGTTGCGTATCATCGGACATTGCGGCCATTCAAAATGAAGATCTGTGCTATTCTAGGCGGCTTGCAAAGCGTCTTCTTGGTGAATACAAGGATTCTGCAGTGAACATTGATGAACATGGTTTCGTAGCCATGTTTTTATAATGTGATGTTCATGCCATTTTATTGCCGCAGATAGGCCATCTTTGGAAGTTGTGGGAACTTCTTTTTACAGGGGAATCTCCTTGTGACTTTGGCAGCAGATTGCGTCGCACTGTGGCTGATTGTTTCTGCCTGTATTTTCTCTTGACACCACTTCCTTTAAGCGTCGTTCTTCGGCCCTATGTGACAATCAATAACTCTGAGGTGGATCACTTTTTGCCTCGTTCGGGGTTTCATTGCCCTGTGCTTTTTGACTCCACAAATCCGGTTTTTCTACGCCACTCGATGAACTCGCCTCATGTTCATGGCCTGAGGGCCATGGAGAGTGACGGGCTCCAGGTCCACAACACATGACCGCGTTCGAGTTTGAGGAACCTTAAGTGTCAATTTGGCGTTAAAGCAAATACGTTTAGATCGAAACATTTTTTTGGTACGCACAAAAAATATGTCTGGGGCGGATTTGCAAACGGGGCATGTGCCGTCGGAGTTTGGGCCTTGTTGACGACGGATGAGGCTGCGAGTTATGTGGAGGTAAAAATGGATTGCGACGAGCTAGTTGGGCAAACGTTTTTAAGATGGACAAAAAAGTTTTTTCTCCTCTTGGAATGGGTTGTAGGAGTTGAATTTGGGAAGATTCTTTCACTTGACTTTTGCAACGACCACGTGCTGTCGATGGCTGCGATTTTTAACACCTTGGAATATTGTGGTGATAAGAAGCTGCCGCTACGGATTTTTAAGGGGCGTTGCGAGATGTTTCGGGCTTACTGGAGTTTTATGAGCACAACAGCGTACAACTTCTGGCTTCGACAGAAGATCTTTACCTTGAAGTGTGTTTTGCTGCTGCGGTCAAATTCACTTGAGGCCGTGCTCCATTTGGAACCCTGCGCCTGTCGGCTTTATGCGATTCTTATGAGTCTGCATTGCATGTTGGACGAAGAACGGAAGAGGCCTCTACTTGATGTCCTGCTTTTGAAGAAACTGTTCTATTTAACGGAGATTTTTTGAGACTTTTCGCACCTTATTGCGTACCTCAGACAATAAGAAGGAAGGTGTCACCAAGTAAAATCCTTGAGGAACTCTTGTCGTGGTTCTTTTTTATTATTGTTCTTTTGTCGCTTGTGACTTTTATTTTCTTCCTTACTTTATTTTTGCCTCTAATGTGAATCACTGGAATAGCACATCTAACACGCATACACACTTTTTTCTCTCTTTATGTATACAAAACGACTCTGTATAAATGCTCTTATATAAGCTGTGTCATGCGCTCCACGTCTGCGTATACCATTGGAGGTACGGCTGTACCTAATCATTTTTATTTTTTTTGGGAGGGGGGTCCGCTTAGGCTGGAAGGTCATAGATACATTCGACTTCGTTGTGGTGCTTATCCAAGAGTCGATTTCTTACATTTTGGGACCAGTATGAGCGCGCGACTGGCTAGATGTGACCCTCGTCTGCTGGATTTTGTTACCTGGACCGTCCTTAAGGGATGTCGTCTGTTTCAACGCGTTCACATAACGCCTTTGGGACTGGTTGCTACGAGCACGATACCCGCGTACGATTTTGTGGCTGTTGTTCCAACTTCTACGACCCTAAGTCTTCTTAACCTTGCTGAAGATGCGTCTTTCCCACTCAAAGTGTCACCACAAAACCACGGTGAGGAGCTTGCGTTTTGGCCCGATCTTACATATGGTTCGTTTGCATTCATTGGGTACCTTACCAAGGTCCTGCGGAGCGGTAGTCCACGAGGGGAGCGGAGTTATTTAGACGTGCTACCCTTCGATCCAGGTATGGCCATTGGCAGTGTGGCGGATGCCGCACAGAAGACGAAGGATTATTCAGAGATGATAGAACCCCTTAAGAGGGTTTGCAAATCACAGGATGTGGAGTTTAATTTGGCCTTTCGGCATGCTTATTGCCTTTTCCGACGACATGCCATTCCGTTCTGGAGCAATACAGAGGCGGGTGGCGCTGGCCATCCAGATTTCCAGCACTCGCCATTTGCTGAGATTGGCCATGGGGATATTTTGGGAATGGTGCCATTGCTGGATTTGGCCTTGCATTCACCCGAGCCCAATGCATCAATTGGATACCCAGATGCTGACATGTTGCAGTGGCTGGCGCAGGAAAAAAAGGCGGGTATACAAGTGGATAAAGGCTACTTTGTGATGCAGGCGCAGCGTGACATTCATAGGGGCGAAGTAATCACCGTGAATAAAAATGCTTACTTCAACTTTGACGACGCTACATTCACGGCGTGGTTTGGCTACCCAAATGTTTCCCAGCATCACCAGAGTGCCGAGGGCGTTAAGGCGCCTGCAGAGAGCTATGACAACATTCTAGAGGCAGGTAGTCCGGAGCTTTCCGGGATGTAGTACAGATAGTAGGCGTGTCAGCCCTTTTCTGTATGCATTACAGACCGTATTTGTTTGCTTTTCTTTCTCTTGTTGTTACTGCGGTGGACATTGTATTTGCACTTTTTTTTTCTTTGTGTGTGCGTGTGTGGAAACCAGCAGGCAATGCGGAGCGTTACTAGTTGCGGTGAGTGGGAGAGAGTAGGTGGCGGATGCGCGTGTGTGTTGCGTTTGCATTTTACCATCCATGGGGGCAAACTTTTTTGGCGCTTAACTTTTTTCTGTGTCGTACTCCATCCTTTACTATTTATTGATTGATTTATTTTTCCTTTTGCTGTTATCATTGTTTACAGCGGAGTAGCGTAGTGCAGAGCAGCTGGGATTTTTGCTGGCGGCGGAGGTGGGGAAAAATTGGTCGTTGCCAATGAAGAGTTTGGAGTACAAACTGGCACGCCTTGAGGAGCAGAATGCGTCGCTTCGGCAGAAACTGCGACACCAGGAGAATGAGATTAGTCGACTCTCCGTGCGTGAGTCGCATCTGAAGGAGATGCGGCGAATGCCTCTACTACAGAGGCGCCTTAACGCTGTACTCACGGAGCGCGAGGAGCTCGAGTGCCGGCTTGCTGAGGCGCGCGGTAGGGAAGCGAAACTCTCGGATGAGGTCAATCTCCTGCGGATGTTCGTCAAGCTAGACAAGAACCCAGAACTCGCGGAGACGGCGCGCCAGTGCGTCAATCATGAGCGCATTCAAGAGGAGTTGAAGGCGCTGGGTGGGCAGCTAGGCTCCATCGCGGCTGAGCGCGAGGAGTACAAGAAACGGGCACTACTTTCGTGTGAAGAGGCAGAATACTATCATGCCCAGCTGAATGTGTCATGCGATGAGAAAAAGAAATTAGAAGCCTATATAGAAAAGCTGCTTGCTGAGCAAATGACGACCGCAGCCGCGACTTCCTCGTCAGGTTGTGGGATCATAGGGCGATGCTCGTTTTGCGGCGTGGACGCAGCAGCAACAACAACAACCAAAGAACATCTTGATAACGATGACATGCAGCAGCTTCGGCGACACCTTGAAGAGGAAAGGGCCCGCAGCGAAGCTCTGCAAGAGACTATAGATGCATTATACGAACAACAACGGGAACAGCGTCGATCCTCTTCAAAAGAATGGAAAATGGTTAGTCCTTCAAACCTCACTAACGACATGGACCCTGCTGGGCAAGGTGAAAACAATTCAAGCATATATGTCTTGCGTCGGCATCTTGACTATGCAGAGGGTGAGTGTAGGTTGATAAAGAATAGATGGCATGCGCTTAGAGATCAAAACAAGGCACTGCTCTCGCGTATTGCGGAAGTCGAGCTCGCGGAGGCCGCAGGCCGCAGTGAAATTCATAGACTCTCACAAGAGCGTGAACGGGTGAGATATGAACTTGAATTTGTTCGGCGGGCGCAATCCTTAGTTTCATGTCGTCCTGATGAGCGAATAAGTCATGAGGGTCCCAATGATCTTCCCGGCCTGACTCAGTGAGAATCGCTAGTTTCTCTCGTTGGCATTTATTATTCGCCATTGTTTCATATGTGCTTTCATGTAATGGCGTTGGGTTTCCTGTACGAAACCCAAAAACAACAACTAAAGGAAATGATTATTATTATTACTATTTTGTTTTTAAATATTTCCAGCCCTTTTCTAGGTGGTGACAGCTCTGTAGCCAGGACGATAGCTATGCGGGTCGGGTGGTGCGAAGGGAGTGGGGGAGCAAGCAAAGACGGATGTCGCAGCTATGGGTGAAACGTTCCAAGGCGGGGCTTTCACGACACTCTCGCCTCCTAGAAACAATCAATCGTGTCTTTCCTATGCCGTTTGAGGAGAGGCGTTCGCGTGTGGACATGGTGACGTATGATACCTATCTGTGGTTTCGCTACTTTCCCCTTTTACTTGTTCCAGTCGTGATAATTGGGATCATTTTAGAAACCTGCGACATTCCTCAAGAACACGTTTTTGCTTCTCTGCATTTGTGGCTGACAGATCACGGCATGTTTCGTCATGTTACTGTGAAGGCGCTCAACCCAGCGTTTGAGGACGAGCGACGGGCAATCGAATGGAAGGCCAACGATTGCAAGTGGAGGTTTACAGGCGTCGACATGCTTTCTGAAAAGGAGTTGCGTGAATTTGAGGCAATCAATATTCAGAGGCAAAACATATCGTTGTCGCGGTAAATTGGACCCCGCACTTTTGTTTTTGTTGTTCTTGTGGGCTACTCACCAGAACACTCAACGTCTCATCTCAGTTTTATTTTATTTTTGTTTTCCTCCTGTGTTTTGTTTTGTTGTTGTTATTTTTGCTCGCTTGGCTTATTTGGCAGCGTCACTAGAAGATGAAAATAATGAAGTTACACTGCGAGTATTACACCTTGTGGCTTCCAAATTGCTGTGTACCACAGGGGACTTTTTGTATTGGTTGGGTCTATTAATATTGCTTTTTTTTTTGCCTTGTCTCTTTCCTACTGTTGACATTATTATTATTATTATTATTATTATTATTTTTGAATGTCGTTAGAGGAAATTGCACTACCATGGGAAAGGATCAGGCCAACATCAAGGGCTGCCGCTTCCGCGTGTCTCTCGCCCTTCCAGTGGGTGCAGTGGTAAACTGCGCCGACAACACGGGAGCCAAGAACCTTTACATCATTTCTGTGAAGGGCTACCACGGCCGTTTGAACCGTCTTCCGGCAGCTGCTCTTGGTGATGTGGTGATGGCCTCCGTGAAGAAGGGCAAGCCGGAGCTGCGCCGCAAGGTGCTGAATGCGGTCATCATTCGTCAGCGCAAGAGCTGGCGCCGCAAGGACGGCACCGTTATTTACTTCGAGGATAATGCCGGTGTGATTGTGAACCCCAAGGGCGAAATGAAGGGTTCCGGTATCGCTGGCCCCGTTGCGAAGGAAGCGGCTGATCTCTGGCCGAAGATTTCTTCCCACGCCCCGGCTATTGTATAGGAGGAGATAAGGGCTGAAATGTGCATTGCATTTTTCTTTATTGTTTTTTTCTTTTCCTTTAACTTTGCCTTTGAATCTTGTTTTTACTTTTATTGCTTTAGCGGTGCATCAGAGATTGTCAATTGGTGTTTCTGAACGATTCTGTGTGGTTCCATGCTCTTTTTTTTTTCTTTGTGTTTTGTTTTTCATTCTTTTTTGTTGCGTCGCCGCAACACTACAAAAGGCACGTGAGCACTACCATGGGAAAGGATCAGGCCAACATCAAGGGCTGCCGCTTCCGCGTGTCTCTCGCCCTTCCAGTGGGTGCAGTGGTAAACTGCGCCGACAACACGGGAGCCAAGAACCTTTACATCATTTCTGTGAAGGGCTACCACGGCCGTTTGAACCGTCTTCCGGCAGCTGCTCTTGGTGATGTGGTGATGGCCTCCGTGAAGAAGGGCAAGCCGGAGCTGCGCCGCAAGGTGCTGAATGCGGTCATCATTCGTCAGCGCAAGAGCTGGCGCCGCAAGGACGGCACCGTTATTTACTTCGAGGATAATGCCGGTGTGATTGTGAACCCCAAGGGCGAAATGAAGGGTTCCGGTATCGCTGGCCCCGTTGCGAAGGAGGCGGCTGATCTCTGGCCGAAGATTTCTTCCCACGCCCCGGCTATTGTGTAAGATTCGCGTCCCAGGACTTTGTTTTTTTTATTTTATTTCCCCACTCTCTACAATAAAGACGAGCAATAGTTTTTGTTTGTAGTTTACTCTATTATTTTTCTGTGAGTCCACATGTTTGTTTTTTCTGCAACGTGATTCTCTGCCTTATTTGTCTGCTTCTTCGCTGTTGTTGTTTTCGCCTAGTAGCAGCTGACGGCATGCCAACCCGCTTTAAGAAGACTCGTCACCAGCGTGGTTCCACGTTCTGCGGCTATGGTCGCGTTGGCAAGCATCGCAAGCACCCCTCCGGGCGTGGTAACGCCGGTGGCCAGCACCACCACCGTATCAACTTTGACAAGTACCATCCCGGGTACTTTGGCAAGTGCGGCATGAACCACTACCACCTGAAGAAGAACGCGCTGTGGAAGCCGACGATCAACCTGAACAACATCACGAAGCTGATCGCTAAGGATGAGGCACTGAAGGCGAAGAAGGGAGAGGCTCTGCCCGTTATTGATCTGTTGGCCAACGGATACTCGAAGCTGCTCGGCAATGGTCACCTGCAGGCCCCCTGCATCGTGAAGGCCCGCTGGGTGAGCAAGTTGGCCGACAAGAAGATCCGCAAGGCTGGCGGCGCTGTGGTGCTGCAGGCGTAATTTGTGTTGGTCGTCAACGAGCTGCTGATTTCGTTTTTGTTTTTTGTTTTT